GGTTGTAGTACTGCCACGGTTAGGCTAGGTCTCTCTAGGGTTATCTTATCAGGGGTGTGTAGATAGGGTTGTTAAAGGCTTCAGACCGGATTTATTTAGGGTTGCACAAAGGTTTGCTTCTGTTTATTCGGGGCTATCGCTTTGTAAGTGTCATGGTTTGGGTTTCGGGGGTCTGGGGGTTTAGGGTTTCCTGAGATGCTTGTCGAGGCCCTTCAACTACAATTCAGGTGATCCAGTTGGACTATATGTGGGGCTCATGGTTTCACCGGTATACAAATAATCAGACAAACGAATAAATAAATCAGACTGTATGTGTGTGTGTGTGTGTATATNNGTATATATCTGGAGAGAGAGAGAGAGAGAAAAGCAACAAGAGAGAGAGAGAGAGAGAGACAGAGAGAGAGAGAGAGCCAACAAGAGAGAGAGAGAGAGACAACAAGAGAGCGAGAGAGAGAGAGAGAGAGACAACGAGAGAGAGAGAGAGAGCCAACAAGAGAGAGAGAGAGAGAGAGAGAGGGAGAGAGAGAGGGAGGGCGTGTTAGCATAGGGCTGGCTAGGAAAAGCAGCTCACAGGGATGATTTTGGTACTCCTGAGACTGGATCTTGAATTGTCTTGCGACCTTTGTCGGAGGATGTTCATAGGGCTGGGGCTTGATTTCGCAGGGTTTTGGAGCATTGTCTAGGGATGTTCATGGGCCTGCGACTTGATTTGAAGGGTTTGGGCATGATTTCGGAGGATTCTAATTAGGCCTGAGGCTGGGTCTTGGACGGCTTGGGATCCCTTTTGTTAATGGCTTTAGTAGGCCGGACGTGTCATGTTGAAGGCTTTTGAGACCTGTTCGGAGCTTTCTCTGCCAGGCCAGGGGTTCATCCAGAGTGCTGTGAGCCTGTGTTGGGTTAGGGCAAACCGCGTCTTTCGCGGGTTTCGGCCGTGTCGTGAGTTCACAGTGAGCCTGCCAAATCATTGCGGCTCTACTTTGGAAGTCGTGTAGACTAGAACTCGCCAAAGCCGGGGTTCACATCGTACGGCACTGTTTTCACGTCGTAGCTGAGTAGGTGGCCTTAGCCTTCTTGGATCTAAGCAATCCAACCATCACGGTGAGGGCGGTTAGGGCACCCAGAGAGTCCAAGACCCCTTAATTAAGGAATATACCTTGAATTATAGTAGGATCCCTAAGAAGATTTAAGGTATATTCCTTAATTAAGGGGTATTGGAGTCTCTGGGTACACTATTATAACCCTACTTACTAAATCTTACTAAGTCCCATGAGCCTCTAAGTACACTGCCCCTCCTCGCAGTCCAGGAGCTGATGGATGGGGCGCAAAGGCAGCAGGGGCTTTCTGTGTATCCTGAGTGCGGCAAGTTGCTCGGACTGCCCTACTTGGAGGTTCAGGGGTAGTTATAAGGCTCCTTTAAGGGATCTATAAGAGGGTTCTACAAGGGCTCTATAAGGGGTCCTATAAGGGGTCTATAAGGGATCATATTTGGAGGTTCAGGGGTAGCTATAAATGCCCTACTTGGATTCTGTCTGGTGCTTAGTAGGGAATGGGGGAATGGATCCCTATGATAGTCCCTTAAGGTCCCTTATAGTAGTCCCTATAACCCATTCCCCCATTCCCTACTAAGGACCAGACAGGAGGTTCAGGGGTAGTTATAAATGGGATTATAAGTAGGGTAACTATAGATTTAAACCATATTAGGGGACTTATAACTCCATTTATAAACCATATTAGGGGACTTATAACTCCATTTATAACTACCCATGAACCTCCAAGTAGCCCCTGAGCCCGTCATTCTATCGACCGCGGCGGAAGCCTTGGGCTCTGGTTGAGGGCTTATAGGGTTGATAGGGTTTAGGGTTTATAGGGTTTCAGGTTTAGGGTTTATAGTATAAGTTTATAGGGTTTAGGGTTGAGGAAGCCATCAATCTTCTGCTGGACGAGGATGCTGCGCTGCAGAGGTCTGTTCAGATTTCGAGCCCCAGGTTGCTCAGTGTGTGTTCCTTGCAGTGTTGAACAGATAACAGAGGAATCAGAAAAGAGGGGCAGGTTCACATGAGCAAGGTGCACTGCTCCTCTTATGGAGCTGGTCTTCATGTTATTTGTTGCTGGGCCAAGGTTGGCCCTCTTCTTCACTAGAGGGGATGCGGGCGATGTGGACCCGATGTCTTGGCACGGCAGCTTGGTTGTGGATACTGTGGAGGTGCAAGGCAAGGACCCTTACTTCTGCAATCCTGGTGAGAATGAGAAGCTGGCAAGTGTTCTCCGATTTCAGACGTGGCAAATAGTCCCGAATCCAAGGTCGCTCAGTCTTACCGTATGTGAGGTTTCAGGCTTCAGCTGCAACATTCAAAGCCAGTGACGTTTCAGGCTGTAGGCCGGAGAAATTCGGAGCTGCCCACACCTCTCCATCCAGCCTGTGGAACAGACTCACCTCTACCTATAGTATCCATTGTAGTTCCTTTTTTGGTTTAACCAATTACATATTAAGGATTTTATAAGGTATTCCCAAAAAGGAACTACAATGGAGACTATAGGTACACCCTTGTTGACAAGGCGGCGCAAGGGTGGGTGCCGCAGGCGAGCATGGCGGCAAGTGGATGCTGCTGGGCTTCGGTAGTTTTCCGTTCTGATCGTACTTAAAGGATCATGGGACTTAGTAAGTAGGGTTTAGGGTTTAGGGTTTAGGGTTTAGGGTTTAGGGTTTAGGGTTTAGGGTTTAGGGTTTAGGGTTTAGGAGGATCATGGGACTTAGTAAGTAGGGTTATAAGTAAGGTAACTATACTTATAACCCCAATTAGGGGACTTATAACCTTACTTACTAAGTCCCATGATCCTCCAAGTAGGCAAAATATCCCTA